ACCAGTTCCCCACTGCCAAGGTCACAGGCACTTTTGTGGCAAAGTAAAGACATGGAGTAGGCTGCACAGGTACATCCTATCCACAATTTAGCAACCTGTATCAAAATCTTTGAAGTGCATATAAATGCTCCCCAAACTACTTGTATAATACTGTCCTAAGAAATCAACCAGACCCATGCACAATAACAGCAACTACGCTCTAAAGTCGATCAGCAGAGAACTGGATAAACTCAGGGAATCACTGTCTCCCCATACAATAGAATGGCTGTGCAGTGTGACTTCAGGTGAGGCAGGGCCCTTCATAATGTCTCTCACACAGCACAGCCAGGCACACATCAGGAGCCAGCTAGGAAGGACCCAGTCATAGCAGCAACAGCTGGGTTGAAAGAGAGGAGATTGTAGTCAGCCAACCATTCATGTCTGAAGGGCGAGGCAATGTTACCCGAGAGCTGAGCACAGGAGACCTTGGGGCATGTGTCTAAGAGGGAGCCCACTGGGACCACTGAGACTGAGGGAAAAGGATTCAGTCCCGGAACCAAAGGGTGGCGGAGCTGTGCATGACAGCAACTCCCGTAGGGTCTCAGTGGCTCAAAGACCCCAACTCTGTTTTGACCTGGAGCACATTGAAAAAAAAAAAATACGAATAATAAAATTTTGCTGTAAAGGCTCATATTCTGTTGTGGGTCCTGACTTTTAAAAATTAAAGACACTGGGCTTAGGTTTTCAAATGAGCGTGTCTCCCCCACGTGAGGGTAGGTGACTGCATAAAGTGAGGTGACCCCTTGTCAGAAACCACCTGCCCAAAATAAGTGACAGGAGGAAGTGACCATCTCCGCCCCTCACCGAGGACACGGTGGGAGTGAAGGACATGGTGGAGGGGAGGGAGCAGGATGGCTTATTGCTGACTTACTTCATGCCACAGAAAAGATGGAACACACCAGAGACAGCTATTGTAAATGAAATGGGGTTTAGGGGCTGGGGTCGGGTTATTGACAAGGACAGTGGAAAGTGACCCCAGAGACAGGATTTGGGAGGTTTCTATCCAGAGACTGGTCTGCACATCCAGAGTTGACAGAACCCCACGTTCGTGATGTGTCTTTGAGCATTTCTTGTGCCTTGCTGACCTCTCGCAGGGAAGACTAGGAGAAGTGTGAGCTATCGCTTGCTCTCCCACACTTTCTGTGTGTGCCTGGATATTCTGAACTTTTCTTGTGGCCTTTCCTGTATTTTCATTTCTCCTTCTTTCTCCCTTGCTCAGCAACTCTAGGAGGGGAAGTCAGGGGAACTTCCCGTCCCGGGGTAGGTTGGAGGGGGCGGGTGTGCAAAATTCAAGTTTTCCAAGTTTCTCACCAGGTCTGCGCCGCCCCCTGCACCAACACACAGATGCACAGGCTGGGGTCACAGGCAGCGGAGAGCTGGAGGGGTGGAGATGCCGGGGAGGGGGTGGCCTGGCAACATTGCAGGCAGGGCCCCATGCCAGGGACGCAGTGGGCAGGTGCTCCAGGTGAGAAAACCTCAGTCTGAGTGAAACGAAACATAGGGACCCCGCCACCCAACTTGGAAGGATTCAGGGTGAGGGCAAATCTCATGAGAAGTTGTGTGCTTGTGCCATATTTCAGAGAACATGTCTTTCTGAGGATGGTCATTTTCTGCTAGCTCAAGTGCACGGTGAAAGACACAGGATTCTTTCTGCAGCCACTGGGTCCCTCTGGAGGCGTGGCAACTGATGAGATGGCCCCAGCCTCTCAGTGATGCTAAGATCCAGGATCTCAGGGATGAACAGACCTTAACAACAGAGGCCAAATCCCCTCCACCATCCTCAGAGTAGAGGTGAACCACTGCAGGGGTTTTCTGCCATCCTGATGCAACACCAGCATGGAAAAAAAACTTAAGTTGGGGAAGAGGGTTGTTATGGTTGACTTTGAATAACTGGATTCCTCCATCTTACAGACTCAGGAGGGGAGGCGAAGTCACCAAGCTACTTAGGCCTCATTTGGGATGCTCGTCCGTCAACTGTCATGCCCCCAAGGGGACCCACTGGCTACAGGAAGAAATCTGTGTCTTTAAATGTGCACTTGTTTCAGCAAAACCTGAAAATACTCAAAAAGGCATGTTCTCTGAAGTATGGCACATGCACAAAGCATCTAGAGATGCCGAATCATCACTTCTCAGACTCGAGCAAGCACGGGAGACCCCAGGCATTTGGCTGGCATGCAGTTCTCTCCAGAGGACCAATGGGTCCACGTTGGTACATTTCTAAGCTCCAGGGTGCCAATGGTCCAGGAACTTCACAGAAGGGCAGACGCTGGACAGCAGAGCTCTGGGACGGTGCTAGTGCCGGCAGGCAGGAAGGAGAAAACCTGCTCGGCAGGAGGGCAGGTGTGGGTGAGAAAGCTCTTACCAGGTAGGTTTGTAAGGGGCTGAGGAGAGCAAGAGGAGGCTGCTGAGACAGCAGGAAGGCAGCTGAAGAGCATATTTTACTTATTTTATGATTCCACAGAATATGAGGTGTTAAGCTAGCAGCTGGCACAAAAAGGGGAGGCGGTCTCAAGAGTGCCCCCACCTAGGTCCGGGTAAGCTCCCACACCTCCCCAGGCACCCCTCAGCCTACTCCCCTCAAGAGAGGCAGGAGACTAGAGACAGTGGGAGATCCACATCAGTGCTACTTCTGCTTCTCTGAATCAGTAAACCAAGATCTCAATAACTGTTATGACTCTGCTATCGGTTACAACTTCTAAAACTACCTTTTTACAAAAGATTTATGCCCCACCCACTCACCCCCCCTCCCACCCCACGGTGGTGCAATGGGTCGATTAGGGTGCAGCACTGCAAAGCAAGGCTCAGCCACTGCAGCACGAGTTCGATCCCTGGCCCCAGGGGTGACCCACATGGCTCGATCCCCACCTGCCCCAGAGGTGACCCACAGGGCACAGCAGACCTCTCCTGACCCTCCCGCTGCTCCCCTCAGCAGTGTACTTTGCCCATCTGCCTGTTCTGCTCCCCACTCTGTCTCTGGTGCATCCTCTCACCGCCCCTGAACTTCTGGCCTGTATCCCAGTCCTGTGTGCATAAATAAATAAATCTTAAAAAAAAAAAAAAAACAAAACTATTCTAAAAAGATTTATTTATTTATGCATACAAGAACTGGGAATCAGACCAGAGGTGCAGGGGATGAGAGGACTCACCATAAACAGAGTGGGGACTGGCTAAAATACACTGCTGAGGGGAACAGTGGGGAGACAGGAGAGGCCTGCTATGCTTGTGGGTCACTCCCTGGCTGGGGATGGAACCTGTGCGGCAGTGGCTGTGGACAGCTTCATAGTGCTGAGACTTAAGCCCTTGCACCACTGGAGAGAGTCCGCCCTCTCCCCTAATTTTAAAGTAGGCTGGGCATCTCTATCATCTTGTTCAATGCCTGCAGACGCGGGAAAGCTGCCGCTGCTACCCAAGCAGAGTGTACTGTGACTGGCATTCTTTACACAGGCACAGCCACAAAAAAAAAAAAAAAAACCTTCGAGGGCCCTCCCTGGTGGTGCAACAGGTTGAAGCACTGCAACTGCATTATGAAGCTCTCTGCAGCCACTGCAGCACAAGTTCGATCCCTGGCCAGGGAGGTGACCCACATGGCATGGCAGGCCGCTCCTGACCCACCCACTGCTCCTCTCAGCAGTGTACTTCAAAGATCTGCCTGTTCTGCTTCCCGCTCTGTCTCTGGTGAATCCTCTCACCCACCACACCTCTGGCCTGTACCCCAGTTCTGTATGCATAAATAAATATTTAAAAACAAAACAAAACCCTTCGAGCTCCAAGTCAGTGTTGCCATCATGATGTAGAAAGCAGCCACTCACAGGACTCCCCAGTACTCCTTCCCACCAACAGGTCATACTCATTCCTCGCTCCAAAAGAAGCATCGATCGTCCACTTTTCAATAGTTTTATTGTTTGACAGGCATTTACAACGTTCCATTCATAGACCTAAAAACATAAAAATAGACCTTCTTTCAGCTTATAAAAGAAATATATAAGAACTTTTGACATAGACACGTCATGACCTTATGTACAAGAGACAATGGCACCCTCTCCAAGCACCAGACTTTCCAGCATTTTTGACAGACCCGTTGCACTGGGGCGAGTATGAGACCGTCAGGAGCCTCTGCTTCCGTGTTCCGTCCGGATACGACACACTGGGGGAGACACAGGACAGTGCAGCGATACAAAGGGTATAGAAACCATTCTAAAGCTTTTTAAGAAAATCAGAAGGTTTAGCAAAAATTTAATAGAATAAAACTTTCAAAAGATCAAGCTCAAAGCCCTGGAAACCCAAAGGGGAGGGGCAGAAGGTGGGAAAGCGGGAAAGCAGGCAGGGCACAAGAGCGTGACGTTCTGGACTCTCTATTGTCTGGAAATATAAAGTCATAACTGATTTTTATAAAATATAATTCCTAAAGCTACTATAAAATTCAGGTCTTTAAAGTACCTACTGATGTGTCAAACACCAAATAGATAGTTTCCCCAAAAAGAAAGTTTTCATATTATTTAAAACCCTTCTTAGGAAGTGGACATCGTGAAATGGAGGGGGAAAAAAAGCTATAAACCTTTTTTTTTCTTACACACAAAAATGGAAAGTGCTTTAATTTGTTTTTGTTCTCCCTAGTTGGAAATCTGCGTCAGAGGTTAGAGTTTCAGCAGGTTTACCCTGTTCCGCTGGCATGAAGATAGTGTTAGACGTCAGCTATGTTTTGGAAGAGGTGGTTTTGCCAAGAGGTTTGGTTACGGACTGTCAGGGAAGGGGGAGGGAACTGATGGATGAAGATGCAACTCTGATGGGAAACCGATCATCACCATGGCAACCCCACTGAGAAGCCACCTCCCTGCAACAGACACACACACTGCCCGAGCAGGCGTTCTGTTAATCCAAGCAAGCACCCGTCTCATAGAGATTTGAACATAAAAAAAAAAAAAAAAACAAACAAACAACAACAAAAAAAACTGCTTCTTGGGAAAAAAAGGGCCCCTCCTAAGCACAAGCATCTTGCTGACTTTTCATATATAAATATAAAATCACTATGCCTCACTCTCTGTAAAAGGTAAAAGCCTCATTTTTTTTAAGACTCAGAGTTACACTAACACTGTAAAATCCCTATCTGTTTGTGCCCCTGCATCTCAGGTAAAATACAAAAAATAGTGTTTTATTTTTCAAGTGATACATTTGGATCTCTGTTCAAGGAGTTTGGCATCTTTAGAATTCTCTGCAAAACGAGGACTTCCGAACACTGACACTGAGTAAGACCGGCCATAGACCAAAACAGAGGAGGAAAAAAAGAAAGGCTCAATTAAACACAAATCGCCACCCTCTCTGCTCACACATTCTTGAAATACACAGATATGCTCAGACATTTAAGAGGGAGAGGAGGACACTGCAGGCTGGACAGTCGCGCCGCGTCCTTCTGCGTGAAGGCGGATGTCCCGGCGGGGAGGTGGCTCTGTGGGCATCTCAGACGAAGTGGTCTTTACCGGCGTCCTTCTCCCTATTTTTGTGCTGCCCCTTAACTACCGTGCGGTCCACACTTGAGCTCCTAGGGTCATGTGCTTTCCGGGGCTAGAGATGTTTTTCGTTTTCATTCTTCAGGTCCTCATTCACCGAGAAGAAATCACAGCCCTGGACGCGCACAGAAGCCAAGACGCCCGCTGACTCGGGATGCTGATGACGGTTTCCTTCGGGAGCGACGGGACCTCGGCACGGGTCAGCTGCCGGAACCGTGTGTGCAGGAGCGCGACCCGGGACTGTCCTCCTGGGGCGCGAGGGGCAGCGTGAGGCTGGACGGGGCGGGGGCCGAGGGCTATCTACACAACACGCCGGGGCCCGGCAGCCTCAGATCTCGGTGTTGAGCTTCCGGGAGGAGGCGAAGTCCTCCCTCCGGACCCAGATGACCTCGTCGCTGCCGCTCTCCAGGCCGCCGTTGATGCCGGACAGCGCCGCCTGCTTCCTGAGCTGCGTCATGCGCGAAGCATGGCTCTCCAGCGCGTGGCGGCCGCGGTCACGCTCGCGCTGGCCGAGGGAGGCGGCCTGCAGCCGCTCCTGCAGGTCCCTGTCCACCGCCGCGCCCTTGACGGCCTCGCAGAACTCATCCTCGTCGCTCAGGATGTCCGTCTCCTTGATGTCCTCTTGCTCCTCATACTGAGCAAGGTCAAACTGTTCCTCCACCCAGCGGTCCGTGTCCCCGCCCGCGGGCGGCTGCTGGGGCTCCTTCTCTGGGCTGCTGGCCGAGATGGCATCGGCATCAATGGTAAACCTGTTGCGGGCCAGTCGCCGCCGCCTCCTCCCAAGGGACTTGCTGGGGGCGGACACTGCACACACACACAAAGATAGAAAAATCAACCCCCCATGCTTTACCTGAGGGAGAGTCCAGAAAGCGAGGACCAGGACAGGACCGGGAGAACTCAAGGAACTGCCTCTCTGGCCTGGGAGTCAGGCCAGGTGGACGCCCAGATACCCGGGCCGGCTGGATGGACTGACCAAGGGCAGGGGGACAAAGGCCTGCCGGGCCCTGCGGGTTATGGGGAAGAGGAGAGCAACTCCTCATTCTTCACCCTGTGCGCCTGGAGATGGGTAACACAGGTGTCCCCAGCGGAGACAGGTGTGCCCTGCCCTCATCCCTGACTGTGCTCCTGCTCTGAGGATCTGAGGGGCTGTCCTAGGGTCATTAGCTGAAGTAGCAGTTTATAAAAGAGGAGGCCAAGGCACAGTGCAGGTTATGTCGTCTCTGGGGAAAGGGCCTGCAGGGTGTAAGGCCCAGCATCCCACTCGGGGAGCAAGAGACCTGTGTTAGCACAGCTCTCGGGTACCAAGCCCCCCGCTGTCCCTCCTCTGTCAGAGACGGTTCACATGACCAGGAGGCTGGGCCAATAGGAGTGTTGGCCCCTCTTGCCTACGTTTCACATAAAACTGGTTTCTCTTCCACAAATCAAATCTCGGAGCTGCATGGAATGAGAAATAAATAATGTATGACCCTCCAGCAAACTGCTGTGGAAACTGACTAACCATTAAGAAAAATAATCTGTGAATTCATTCTTTGGCCTACTGTCCTCTAGGAAGCTGGACTTTTTAAAAACAAACCAACGAAAGACACCACCCAGTCAGCACACATTCTCACACCACACACACACACACCCCAAGGACGTCCGCGAAGACATGCTGCCCGTTCCCCTTCTCGCGCAGAAGTGAAGGGCTTCTGCGTTATAGAAAAGAAGGTGAGGTGCCATGGGGCTTCCAACAGAGTGGGAGAACCAGAACCCCATTCAGGACTGAGGGAGAACCAGAACCCCATTCAGGACTGAGGGAGAACCAGAACCCCATTCAGGACTGCCTCCTCAAACGGAAGCCCTCGGACCATTAAAACTGCAGTTGGAAGGAAGGTGACTATTCTCAAACATGACCAAATGCAGCCGTGATTTCTAGTCCAGCAGGACCAGGTTGGGAGCTGAGCTGTGGCCTAAACTGCCTCTGCCTTAGACCGCTGCATTCCCATCAATCCATCATCATTCCAGAGTTTTCTACCAACTCAAAACACAGAGCCAAGGAGGGGAATGAAAGCTGTCCAGGAAATATGAGAAGAAGAAAGGAAAAAATGAACAAGTGCTACTTCAGAGGGAAGCAGCCAACCTCCTTGTTCAGTTTGGTCTCAACAGCACCGTGGTAGAGTCTGGAGGCTGGCTCGCTCCAACCCCCAGATTAGAACCACTTTCACTGCAAACCGGGCTATGGGAAATACTTGCTGATGGTGTGTCTGCTGAAATATTTAGGGGTACTAATGTCTGCACTTTTGAAATATGTCAAAAATAAGATGAGTTGATGGATAGGTGGATAGATATATGATAATGAAAACAGAAGTGATAAAGTATAGAACAGAGACAGGAGGGATGAACATGTACATTTCTTTCAGCTGCGCTATATGTCTGGAAACTTTCTTAAGAGCATGTGGGAACATACAAAAATGACAGAGGGTTATTGGCACGTGTACAGTTGAAGTGAGGAGGCAGGGTATTGGTTTTTCTGGCTATTCAAATTGAACAAAGGGAGAAGGGAGGCCCTGGGCATTCGTGACAGCACAAAGCAAAGCATGACTGTCTGCCCTTCACCACGAGGACGCCTAATGGCACCAGCACCTCTCTGGGTTCAGGAGGCAGTCTATGATGGAGGAGACCCATGGCTGCTTGGTCAGGCCAAACAGCCAGTGCTGAGTTGACCCACCCCAGCTCGTGGTCAGCTAATGACTATCCAATGACCATGGGAAGCTGCAAAAAATTTTCTTCAGCTCAAAATGAAACATCAGGCAGAAAGTGAACCCATCAGCCAAGGCTGACAGGCTGGGACATCAAGGTTTTCTCCTGGTTTCATGAGATGGGAGAGGCTGTAGGTTAGTTTTATTTTCTTTGTACAGGGATCTCAGCAGGAAAACTTCTGAGTGTCCCATGCACTAAAAATGCATAGTCTCAATGGAAATGCAGCTCTCAATTTAAATCCACTGATTAACAACTGCCCGGTGATGGCTGGAGCTTCCTGCCGTTGGTACATATATTTCCAGTCCTCGTTAAATATCCCCTGCCTATCTAAGGTGAAATTCTCTATATGAGCTGGAAAGGGTAATTCTTCTCACAAGAGTGCCACAGGAGGAACTGGACATGGAAACTTAAGGCTGGGATTACCTCAGAGAATCTAGTCAGCTTTGGGTGCACATTACACTGGGTTTTTAATAAAACATTTATGAACTTTTTGGAGAACAGCTTTATGATAGCTACTCCCTTATATTGTACTAATCCACTTGAAGAATGTAATACCCCCTGTTAAGCTATGAAAGATGTCTGTGAAAACTTCCAACTGCTCACTCTACTCATGCCTCTTCAACATCACTGAGCAGAGTAAGAAGGGGAATTGGGACAGAGGTTAGAAACCTTTTTGGCAAATGCAAAGGAAACCACTTGTGTTGGAATCTTCCCTGAACATTCTAGGCTGCCTTGTAAGAAAGGAATGATAAATATCTTGATGTCATGAATACCTACTTGCTAAGAAAAACATCTTTCTTCTGAGAGATATTTACCACCGTTACAGGTGAGAGTATCAATCTTCCTTCCTCACTGGTCCAAGGTGATGGAGTAAGTTCTAGAAGAATGTTTACTCTGGGACCATTTAAACTCTACAGTCTTCTTTTCCAACAGCAGCTCAAGGCTTCCCCAAAATAACACTGAAGCTAAAAATAAAGCTGCAGGCAGAAGGCAAGGGTAAAACCTAATGTGTCATCTGGTCGACCAAACCTGGCATCCTAAATGAGAACGCGCATCACTGTGTTTCTGGACTACAAAGCTACCGTGTTCTCAGGATGGCAGGCTATGACCTTGCAGAGATGTGACATGTGGCTTTTGATAGACAAAGCTGGCTATCATGCAAAGCAGCAACTCTCATTCCAGAAGCAGGCTAAGACAGCCCCTGCAGAAAGGGAATGCGCTCACTTCCACGCCTGGCAAATGAGAGAAGCTCCCCAGCCAGAGGGAGAAGAGCAACAAAGGGAGAGCGTGAGGGAGGGCAAGAGGAAGAGACAAAGAGCAGGTCCCCATAGAGCCCCTGGGAAGGAGGTGCAGGCGAGGAACCCCACACCGGGGAAGAACCATACTCCAACGTCATCCCCATAGGCAACATCTAATTCTCGGTCAATGAAGTCAAGCTCATTTGAGTTCTACAGTGGAGCGGGGGTGACGGGGATCTTGAACGTCTGAATCCCCACAGTACCTGCCCTGTTCATGGCTGGCCTGGCCCCTTTCAATGCACATAATCTCTTTCCTCCAAAAGGGACATATTGCTGGGACGAGGGAAGGCTTTCGGTTTTGAGGAGCTGTCTTCTGTGCTTATCACGCAGGATCGAATGCACAGCCTTCAGGAAATCCTTTCGGCTCTCTGGGGAGCTATGAAAAAAGATTTACACATGTTAGGGAAACAGTACTTAACACACAGGGCTTTTCAAGTATTACAGGTGTAACCAAACAAACATTCCCTCAGGGCTGGAGGTGAAAGACGGAGACATGACTCCAATTTCTTTGCTGAGCTGTGTCGTCATCACTGTGGAAAAGAACACTGATTTCTTTCCTTTTGTGCCCTGTGGTTCACCTCGGGATAGCCCAGCCCACTAGAGAATAAGCTGATGCCAAGCTGGATTTTGCAGCAAGAAGTTGCCAAATTCTGTTCTTGGTAGTTAAACCTGTCATTCTGAAATGCGTTTTATGGACACATAAACCACAACATTCTTAGGGCTCAACAGAGCACCCAAATACTGAAGTCCCTCAGGCACTGTTGGTGGCATGGAGACTGGTGCAGCCACCATGGAAAATAGTATAAAGGCTCCTGAAAAAATTAAAACTAAATCTACCCTATGATTCAGTAACCTCACTCTGGGTGTCTGCCTGTAAGATAAGAGAACACCAATTCGAAAAGCTAGCTGCACTCCATGTTCACCGCAGCACAGTTCATAACAGCCACACGATGGAAACAGCACAAGGGCCCAATGACAGCCTTTCTCTAGGCTGCACGAAGCTCCACACTTACCTGCAGCACAGGTGGAAGACCCTCTCCGGCCTCCCTTCTGACTCCGACTTCACGTGGACAATTTCACACACGGTATTTGCCTCTGCATCTGAATCAATGACAGGCATGGATGAGGGTATGTTCCAAATGGATTGATTACGTTTTGACAAAAGCACTTTCCACATCATGGTGTAAGATAACTGGTACAGAGTAGCATGAGACCACAAGAATGTCTCTAAGATCTATAATGTAGAGAGACAAAGTGTTTGCGGGCTTCATGGGTACCAAGACAAAGAATGCTTGGGAGACATCCCATTGCTAAAATCTTCCAGACAATCTAATAGGACAATCAATCAATCACTGATTGAAGAACTGGCCCTTTGAGCTGCCCAGTCTGTAGGGCTGGACTATTTTAAGTGATGAGCTGTTCTGTCAACAATTGGACCAGACAGAGGACAAGAGTTCCATGCAGAGTTCACCAGACCAGGGACATAAACAGGCAGGGCCTGACATCTGTCCATGGGAAGAACTTTAGCCCTGAATGGCCAAGGTTAGTGTCCTAGACAATCAGATCCTGGAAACAAATGGAGCCCCCTCTTCTCCGAGCCCCCACGGAACCCGCTCTGAGAGACGTATAAATAGTACATGGAGAAAGCAAGGAACAGACCCATTTTAGGACAATTCCTAAGCCTGAACACCTGGTGTGCAACACTCTGATTTTTGTTGTAATCAGCCTCGCGATACCATGTAACTTAAATTGTGAATAGTGTTTGGTCAAGCAAACGTTCTCTGCACACACACAGCTGTACCCACTGGCAGGCCTCATTCTTGTCCAACAGCTCAGAACCCTGGACACAAACCCACACTGTGGCCACATGATTCAACCATGGCCATTTGCAGAAAGTGTCATAGGCTTTCTCCAACTTAGATACAATCTAGAAAGTCCATGTTCTGATTCTGCCTGGGTCAAATCTGCTGCAGTGTACGTGCTCACCATGGGGAAATAGTGGTTGATCTTTATGACTCCATGAAATAAGGTTTCACCTTGATGTTTTAAACTTGACTTGAGTGAAAAGCAAAGGGAGAACAAGGAGGACCGTATCACAACGATGGCTGTTTTCAGGTTTTAAAGTCTTTATGTGTTTCGTTAACCAAAGAAGGCAAAGTTCCCATTTTAGAAGTCTGTCGAGCCCTCCCACTCGTAAACCAGACACAATGAACAATTTCCACTAGATAATTCACAGCTTAAGATTGCAAAGCAAGAAGACATTTGTCTGTAAGTGCTCAAATCTCAAAATGCTACTATGGCTGTTCACAGACCTACAACTCCTTTCCTCCCTGCAGCTTACAGCTGCCTGGTAAATCAGGGGCAAATCAGTTTTGCAGATCAAATCATAAGTAAAAAGGTCTGAGGGTAAGTCTCTGTGCTGGAAGATGAGCGAACCCCTTTTAAGGCAAATAATCATCCCAAAGACGAAGTTTTTGCCCTTGAGTTTTCCTACCACGAGTAGTAACTGAAGGTTACAACATCCAGTTTCACCTGCACGAGAACTGATGGCTCACCAAGTGTTGCAGGAAGGTTTTTTCCCCATGGGATGTTGGACTAGGGGCTGGTTTCATAAGGGTCAGAGCTCCTCTGAGGGCCCACAGAAGTGGACACAGTAGAAACGCAGAGAGGATGCACCCACAACTGTCAGAACTTACCGTGCCTTTCCTTCAGGAGCCAGCAGAGGCAAGCAGGAGTGCAAGCCCTGTGCCCCTGCAGAGAAACACCTCCACGCTAGTCTTTACTCCTGGAGAGCTGCTCCTGCCAGCTAGGTAGAAGGGGGAGTGGTGTGGCTAGAGTTACCACCTGACCCTCAGGCAGAAAAGCAACTGCAGTGAAGATGGCCTTGAGCAGCCCCCAAGGAAGCCCTGGTTAGGGTCTCCAAGTCACAGGAATATTGCTTTCAACACAGCACCTGCTGACGTTCTCCCCCACATGCCTGAAGCATCATATAATCTTATTAAGAGCACCCACTGCTGCCCAATAACTCAACCCATTGCTACTTGGGTCACCAAAGTCTGTAATACCTCTGGAGAAAAAACATATGTATTCAATGGCTTTCTTGTGCTCTGGGGAGTCTTTTGGGGTCTTTCAGTGAAAAGGCAAGTGAGTTATTCACATGGCCTTTGTGTGCTCATGGTCTCAGGTATTCTTTCTAGAAGTAAGATTCATTGCCATACAGATAGATGCTAGTCACGAGAATACTATTCACAGAGCACCACGATTCGAATTCCTTCCATCAATATGAAAGGCATTAGAGTCATTCACTCAGTCCCTCCCTCCCACCCATCCATTCTCCTTTCCTCTCTTCCTTCCAGTGCAGTTGTTGCTGGAACAACACAGTTTGAAGGCAATGATATGGGCCTTGAGTCTCTGAATTCTGATTAGAGGCACACCTAATGTCCGATGTTGTTAAGAGGTTGACTGTATTTAGTAAACGGTTCAGCAAATAAGAGACAAAGGAGAGACAGAACGAAAGGGTAGGTGTTTAGATGAGAGCTTGGATTCAGACAAACGCTGCATAGACATATCGGAGTAGGCACCGGCCCACTGAAGAGCTCACCTGCACTTGCCAGCGCTCGAACCTGCAGAGCTTCGGTGGGGATCATGTGCCGAAACCGGAAGGGGTCCCAGTCCTCATAAATGGAAAGCCTGTGAGATCCTACCTGCAGGAAGAAAGGGAACCAGGTGCGTGAGAACAAGCTGCTTTAGCCCGGATCAGACCTCAGGCACCAAGTTTTCAACACCAGTGATGCTGGAAGCCCAAAACTTGTCCAGCTTCATCCCTGTGAAGTCCAAGCAGCAGAAAGTGAGAGGCCAAGGGACACACATGCTATCAGTGTACAAAACTGATTCACTGAAGTCAGCACCCAAAGAGAGACACAGGAAAGAGGAGGAAAGGACCCGAAGGCCAGAACTAGAGGGACAGAAAGAATGTAAAGGAGGTTTTAGCCACCGGAGGTCCAAAGCTCCTGCCCTCCCTGCTCTCCATGTGACCCTCACCAGAAGATGCCAGGAAGGGCAGCAGCTGAATCCTTAGTGACACAGAGTCACAGCAGGCACCTGCCTGACAAAGGGGTGGACTGTAACAGAGAAGCAGCTAGAGAGGAAGATAGCTTCAAACTAGGGGGAAGTAAGAAGTCTTACGAGTTTCTTCTTCTGTTTGGAGCCATCTTTATACACCAGGACCACGGCAGTTTTGAAGACTGAAAAAAAAAAAAAAACAACGTAAAGATATAAAGGTGTACATCACACACAAGTGCGCAGCACCAACTGTCACTCGTTTCCCACCCAGGAGCCACACCACCGGCCACACAAGCTCTTCCACTATGGCAATGTTTCCTTCATCACCACAGGCTCCAGGGTGGAGGCCCATCCTTGGTCTCTCTCTGAAAGCCGAACAAACTAACCATGTGAGCTTTCTAAATGCAGCAACTGCCTCCACCTGAACTAGTTTATTAAACCATAAATCATCTACAGACACCTCTACTGTGGTTGGTATTAGTCACACTGTGCTGGAGAAGCGCCTTGAAAGTGACCAGACACCCCGTGGGGCCACAACAAGTCCACTGAGAACTGGTGTCCTGAATTCCATCACAGAGTCCGGGAGAGAATTAATTAGAGTTGGGGAGAGTCTCAGAAGCAGAGACAGTTCGGCCTTGATGTTTCACTTTATTCTTCCTTGGTTTGCCATTAACTCATTGTTTTGGAAAGATACTCAGAGCAGTAGCAGTAGCAGCAGCAAAAAAAAAAAATCTATCCCTGCTGTGTATTTTCACCTAGGGCAGACCTAGGCCCAGGTTCCCCTGTCCCTACGAAGCCAGGTGGCTACACCAGGTGTACTTAACCAGAGGGTTCAATTTGTATCTGGGGTGGCCACAGCAAGAGGACCAATCCAGGTCACCCCCTTAATTATAACTGATTCTGTCTGATAAAAGAAATTTTATTTTGAAAAATAAGCCACCCCTTTTCTCCCCAGTACATACCAAAGGCTGCCAATTCTGGCTCCTTCTTCCACTTTCCTAGCGAGGCAGGTGGGTTGGGCCATATCACTGTGGTATGTAAAAGCAGGTCCCCCATGCTCAGATCTGCAACCTGAAAACACCAGGGACAAGCAAGGCTTACTGGGAGGGGTTAGCTCATGTGTCTTCATGATATTTTCAATTCAGCAGACTTCAGTGAAATAATTCAGGTGCAGAAAGACAAATACCAAATGATTTCACTCACTTATGGCACATAAAGAAACAAAGGGAAGAGACAAAAATATATCCTAGAAACATGACTGTGGAATTGAGGTCATCAGGATGGGAAGGTGGAGGTGGGGAGGGAGCCTTTGGGGGGTAAGGTTAGTATGATAACACATATCTGAGGAGGTGTGAACCTGAGCCCCTAAGGTAAACACCTGTAAACCAACATTACCTCAAGAAATATAATCAAAAAAATAAAAATGTTAGCAGGTTGATCTCTATGAAAATAATGTCTCAATCTGTCAAAACCAGTGATGTTCCATGTTCACATAGTGTTTCCCAAGAAGACCAATGGGCTTCAATGCTGCAGCTCTCTCTCAAAACTACAAGAGTTTCCAACAGTCAGTTCAATCCCTTTGCAGGCAGAGTCTTTGGGGAAGCAGTAAAATCAATTCTTTCTTCTTGCAACTCATTTTAAAGATTTAATTTCACTTTAGAAGAAAGAAACTAACGGAAGAGTTTGTACCCATTAAGCATGTGTGGTGTGAGGTCTGGGAACCTCAAAAATCACAAGGTTCCTGAAGGTCACATTCTGAACCACCTAGGACAGACCAGTTCCTGCTCTCTCAGGGCCATGAGGTAGTTGTATTACTTCGTATATATTAGAAAACTAGTCAAACTCTCAGGACAGACTCAAGGAAGGAAAACTCCAGTCTCTGCTACCCGGCACCCTAAGACTCACACAGAAGAATACTGGTTATATAGCAAGTCACATTCCCAGGGAACCTTCTGGGCCACAGCCTTAGTGATTAAAGGTCACTGTGGTAAATCATTGTCCAAACTCTACTCCTCCCTGCTGCAAGATTTTATACCTGCTCTTCTACCATGTACTGTGCACCACACTAGACAAGGCAAAACCCAAACTGTAGACTTGCCACGAGACCTGCCAACCTTCCCAGGCTTTAGCCTTCCAGGCTTTGACTTCCAGCCTTGGCCAGGACATGCCCAACAGTGATGGCTGCTTTGGTCTTGATCCACAAAGTTATAGAAGTGGTGTCCACCTAATCCATAAGGCCTGGAGTTTGCCAAAAACTCCTAACCTTCAACTGACCTACACAGCCAGCTGTGAAATAGAGATCTGTAGCTAACCAATTCTGAGTTGTTTGTTACACAGTAGAAAGTTGCTGATACAGGCCAGACACACATGGTTTCTCTCTTTTGACAAGTTTCCACATGGTGCATAGAATCAGGGGCAGAGCTGCTCCTTCTGGCCAAAGGCCTTTTCTTGGTCCTCTTCTGAGTCTTTCAGTCAAGTCCTCATGAATTCTGCTGAGATGCCTCTCCCCCAACAAGGACTGGAATCCCTGCTGAGCAAGGTGTTGCGGGTGTTCTGAGGAGATACACACCCTTTGGCCTTCTCTTCCTGAGACCTAAGTAAAGGGGATGCTCTCTGGGCTGATGCCAGGGAAACAGGAAGTGGAAGGCAAAGTCTCATCATAAAATGTGCCTCTGCCAGCATCTGAACACACATGCCTTCAGGGACCTCCTGAGGGCCTGGCCTAAGGCAGGATTCGGTACCCTAGACAAGCAGCCCTTGTCTAGCCCACGTCAGTCTAAACCTACCATCCCAGCTGCTCCCTATCCACTGTGGAGTGTTCAAGAAACCATGCAGGCCCCAAATGGAAGTTGTCCATAGAAGGACACAGTCACGTCACAATGAGCTTTGCAGAAACCTGCCCCCAACATCTCCAGTCCCCACCTCTCTACACATCCTGAGTGTCCAATGTTCCTCAAGGATAGTGCGGTAGTAACCTTGGCTCAGGCTCCAGGACCCATCAGTCCCCCAGACCCTTCCTCCCTTGGGTAAAGTCTCTTGATGGGCACAGAAAGAGCAGTGGGCTGGGGTCACTTCCTCGAGTCACTGACTGTCTTTGGCTGTTACTACCAAGCCCTGACCCTTGGGTGTCCATTTCCTTCTTACTCATTTTGTGCTGCTAAAACACTCTTTGGTTGATCCTTGACAGCTTCTCCTAAGCTCCATTTTTCTGGACTTTAGCCACCTGATACTGGCCCAGGATATCACTTCTCTGTGGCTCGGATAAGCACTCAAATGTTCCTCCAGGCATCTTTTGTACATTTCTTTTCACAAAATCTCAGCTCACAAGAGCCTACTTTGTACAGCATTGTATCTCTTTGTTCCTCACAGGGGACATTTCTTACTTGATTGTCAGAATTTTATTTAAGAGGATGAGCAATTTCACCAAAGCCATATTCCCCTTTTATAGTCTCTGCCTTTGAATCACAGTCATCTTTTTTTCTAAATTTGCTGCACTTTACCATCCTATCACCTGCTCATCTTTATAAGATCCTTTGCTCCCAAGATCATTAAAATCCAGAGATTAATTCTGCACACAATAAAAAATGTAATGAAAATGTTCACTTTCACGACCTCATAAAATTCACTTCTGTCCAAATAAAATAAACTGAAATGTGGGAGGGGGTAGTCATATGATATATTAAAAAAAAAAAAATTGTAGTGTTTTTCATAGCAGTCCAAAATGAAGCCAACGGGATTGTTCGAACCATAGGAATTAAAAGAAATCATTGTTTACCTGTACATTGAAATCCTGTCTAATAATTTAAATGAATCCTTGGAATAACTCAAAATAACATATATGAACATTCATTATGCAGCATAAAAAATGAAAATACAAAATTACTATCAAATTATAATTATTCAAGCATACACTTCCATATTGAGATAAAATCACAAGAAACACCCAAACATTACAAGTGGTGGAGTTCTATAGATTGAGATTGTAAATAGGTTTTTTCCTTGTCTTTTCTGGCTTTTGCCTTTTTCTTTAATGAGCACAATATCTTTTTCTTCTTAAACATGTTTTACTATAAAATTAAAATTAAATTCTGAATAACCATGTCCATCTCTTCGCTACTCTGCTTAAATTATCTGCCAAGCTGACTAAGGACATCTGTTCCTTATAAATATCATGCAGAAAAATAAGTTGTATTTCCACAGAAAACTGCATCCTCGACTGCAAGCCCTCCCAGGTCACAAGACTGCAGGTTGTAACCCAGTACGCTGTCTCGGAACACCTATGGGCCCTTATTAAATATAGGCCACAGGTAACATACACTTTGTCCCGTCTGGAGCCAACCTAATTGACTTCCGCCTGCTATGGGAAAACCAGCTTGCCCCTTGGACAGTCTTCTTCCTTCCCTGGGCAGTGAACCTACCTGGTTCCCTTTACTTTACTGTGTGTTTCCTTATACATGTAGAAGAGCTGATTTTACCTCTGAAAACTATCTTTCAACAGTCTGAAAACTTTTGCTTCCCTGCAGACATAAAGCACATAACCCACGTTTATCTTTTTCTTTCTGACTTATGTCTCATATATATGCAGAATATAGAGAAACTAAATGAAGGGTCAGGAAAAACACTAAACTTACAAGCTGACCATAGGCACCCAGTGGGGGAGGGGCTTCAATGCCTGGGTGCGAAGAACCAAGGGACTGTAGTGAGGGATCACAGGGGCTGGGATGGTGGGAGAATTACAGGGAGACATCAAATACTGTCCAAAAACCAACATGCTCAGAAAATAAGCTAAAAACAAAGAGAAAAAGAAGCAATAACCACCTGCCCTCCCCAGCATCTCTGAAAATGAGGTCATTTGCTCTTGTCTACACTCAAACTACCCACCAGCTTCCCTCCACCCATCACAGCGGGTGCCTTCCCGGGATTTCTCCATCTTATTCTTGAGGTGAAGTGCACGAGCACATTCCAGGTGAATCCCATGTACGGAGCACAGATGACAACTATCACCTCACCTGCCCCAGAACATCAGTGTTTATTCACATGAGTATCTCTCTGTGAGGCACTGCACAAGTCACCCTAAGCTTGTCCTCAGATGCATCTGCTCCTGTCGCTGTTTCTAAGTGGGTTTGATAGATTAAATAAACTTTTAAAAAGGCCCCAAAATATATAAAACTTTCTACCCAACAAATACTTATTGAATGTACATGGCGGTTATTCTAGGCTCGAGGTTATAGCGCTGGCCTTCCACCAGGCCGAGCTCTCACAGATCAAACCCCACAGTCCCGCGGGTAAAGAGGTGAGTCTGGGAGCACATTTGCTCAATGAAGAAAGATGGAATTCAGCTGAGGGAGAAAAGCCACCTCGTGGCCTCAGTTAAAAGTCCCGCTAATAAAAATAGCATGTGTCTAACTATTTCCTCAACATAACCCCTTTAAAAAGAATTTCCCAATGAGATGCAAATTAAAACCACAATGAGATACAACCTCATACCAGTGAGAATGGCACATTTTAAAACAACTAGCAACAAACAACAAATGTTGGCGAGGATGTGGAGAAAAAGGAACTCTTCTGCACTGCTGGTGGGAATGCAAACTAGTACAACCACTGTGGAAAACTGCTTGGAGGTTCCTCAAACTGCTAAAGATGGAGCTTCCATATGACCCAGCAATCCCACTCCTAGGTATCTACCCAACAGTCACAAAAACACTGAATCAAAAAGACACCTGCACCCCCATGTTTATTGCTGCTTTATTCACAATAGGAAAGACATGGAATCAAGTGCAAAAGTAGGTGACTGGATTAAAACGATGTGGTAACATATACACAATGGAATATTACTCAGCAATCAAAAAGATAAGTTCATGCCTTTCACAGCAACATAGATGGAGCTGGAAGGCATCATGCTTAGTGAAATAAGACAGAAAGAAAAGGAAAAATACTGATGGCTTCACTCATAGCAAGAGTATAAAGGACCAGGGGAGAAAATAATAATAATAATGAACAACTATACACCAGAGACATTTTACAGGGGTGGAATGGGAATTGGGATCAAAAATGGGGGCGGTGGAGGGGGAGTGCACTGGACTATGGGACTATGGTGATGGCACACGGGGATTACAACTGAGATGGAAAAATGATGTAAAAATAAACTATTATATTATTTGAAAAAAGAATGCCCCAATGGACCCAGTTTTCCAGAGAGATGGCCCAAGAATACGGTGCCCTTACCTCTTTTTTCTCACCAGTCTGCTCAGCAATTAGCTGGTCAAACACAGCTCCAAACTCCTCGTGGATCTTTTGCATTTCGTTGATGTGGCTGGCAACCTTGTTCATCGTCTTGATGGCCACTGCAAGAGGCCAGGTGGTGAGGGGCTTCCCAGAGGGGGTGGAGGGTGCCTAGGTCTAGGAGTGGGGGTGGGGCTTGTCAGCCCAGGCCTGGAGGGGATCAGGCCCAGGGGTCAGGCCTACCGTCCAGGTGGTAGTGTTCCTCACTCTCCGCGTCCGTCAGCGCAAAGAGCTCCCTCAGCAGCAGTGGGTACTTGAGGATCCTCTGGATGGGCTTGATGAGGTAAGACTCCAGCGTGGATGAGTGCTGCTGCCTTGGGTTCTGGGCATCCAAGAAGGCCTTGAATGCTGTGTCAGTCTTGGCTGGAAGAGTCAAAACAGGGCTGGGGAGAAAGCCCAGGCCATTCCCTGCCAGGGCTCCCCTCACTTATTTCAAGGGGCCTTTTAAAAATTTTTTTTTGAAGATGTATTTATTTATGCATACAAAACTGGGGTAAAACTGGGGTACAGGCCAGAGGTGCAGGGGCAGTGAGAAGATTCACCAGAGACAAGAGTGGGGAGCAGAACAGGCAGATCGTAGAAGTACACTGCTGAGGGGAGCAGTGGGCAGGCCAGGAGAGGTCTGCTGTGCCATGTGGGTCACCTCTGGAGCAGGAATCAAAGTCATGCTGAAGTGGCTTTAGCTTCTTAGTGATGTGCTGTAACCGGCTGCATGACCAGGGAGAGTCCAAGAGGCCTTTTTACAGGATTGGACTGAGATGGGCAAGTGGGTCAGACAGTGGAAGGCCTGGTGACACGTGTGTCTGTAGCTGATTTGGGGGGGTGGGGTGGGGGAGTGTCCAATGAGTTAGCAGGTTTGTACATCCTAGACATGTGGCCTTTTAGGGGTGCCTGTTTAGCTTCCATGTATTAGAATTGTCTTTATTCTGATTTTCTGACATGCAGGGCCTTACAGCCCAAGGCTGGCAAGTCCCCAAGTTAGTAATATTTATTTTATTTACTCGTAGTCTAACAATACAGATTTCCCCTGCCCCCCCGACCCACAACACACACACACACATACACACCCCTTCTTCTATCAAACTCTTAGGCTCTTACACTCTGGGCCATTCCTCCATGCTCCAGTACCACTCCACTTGGGAAGCCCCCACACCCCAGAAACAGCTTAATTCTTCAAGCCAACCTATCGTGGGCTTGCTTACCTCACTCCTTCCCAAGGAAACCATGACAATGGCTCTAGCCCACGTTTCCCCTCCCCCTCAGCCTTCTAACCCACCCTGGTGCCTCCCGCTGGCCCTGGACAATTGCCCACCCCCCTCCAGGCAACTGTCTCCGGATCTGCTCTCCTCACCTGCTCGAGGAAGAAAACCTGTGTTCTGGAACACTCTTGTCTCTGGTGTTCCTAATCTTTCAAACATTTCATCACTGGTAGAAGCTCTTTTAAGAAAAGGCAGGAAAAAAATGGAAGCAGCCACCCTGGCAGCCGGGAACGTTCATCACATCAAGCCTGGGCCCCCTCAGCGAGCGATTTTTAAGATCTAGTCTGTGTTAATTCGGTGCTACCTGCAGTTAGCATCTGCAGAGAGACCCTGCTGCCCAGGACTGGGAGCAACCGAGGGGACAGCCACAGCTACCACCATGCACACAGGCCTCACTGCAGCCCAGATATTGTCTGTGCCCCAGCTAGGCTGAGAAGCTGCCGGGGAGCTGTGGGCCCCCACAAGACCAAAGGACACCTGTCATGGATAATTAGGGTGGCAAGGCTTACCTTCCAGGTGCCAGTGAGGGGGCCTGGGGTGAGGCCGACATGGGGAACGGGAGGGGTCATTTAGCAAAGAGACTTAACAGTCAGGATATATATTTTTTAAGTATTTTGTTTAAAGTATGATAAAAATAGGTTTCCATGTCCACTAGGCGTGTGAGCTAAGACCCAAAGACACTGTAAAAGGGACTTGTGAAATTGTAAAATGATCCTTCTCGTTGTCTTTATTCAACTAAGGCCAACAGCAATCATGGGGTAAGAGCCCCTAAATCTTTTCATCCTTTTCAACCATTCTGAGCCCCATGAGAGGAATCAGACATTGGGGGTCAGCCACCATGCCTCCTTCTCCCAAGAAAAAATCCTTAGAGAGAAGAGGCCAAGTTTCTGAGGCCTGTGGGCTGGGAGAATGAGGTTCCCACACCAAGAAGGGACCAAACCTTCAAGTTCAAAATAAGACCGTGGCATGCTCTGCTCACAATGAGCAAAACTGGACCCGTCTCCAGCTACGTGTGAGGCCACACTCGCTGGGAATCTGTGAGGAGCCGAGACAGGTGCTTTGTTCTGAGTTCTCTCCAAATGGCGCATCTGGCCATTAGAAAAGCGTGGGCACTACCTAGCGTGTTGAGGGACAGCTTTGAGGGCCTATTTTTCAGGGGCAAGATAGGCCATCGAGTTAAGAAAAATCTACAGGGGCAGAATTTAATTTGAATGAACGATGACAAGTAACACCAAGTGCCACACTGACCCTGTCATTCATCAAAGAACAACAATCGCCTAACAACAAGCATTCAGTTAATGTCTAAAAGGACACACACAACTGTGTGATCCATGGAGCACGTGACACGCCAGAGGAGGCGGGGGAGCAGACCAGGGACCCTTTGTCTGACTGTGCTGACCGAGAACCCTGCTATACCAGCGGTCACCGTCACCCAGGATGCCACTGCTCAGGGCCGGGCCTTGTTACCAGACCCCGCCTGACCAGTATTTCCCTTAGCAGGTGTTGGATGAAATAAAGCTAGTTCTGTGGCAGCAACATAAGCAGAACCTACATAAATGATCTGCATATTCAGGGCCTTGATTAGTAGTTGCTCACAGTGTGAAGAGGAAGCTGATTTCCAGAGATTTCTAGGAAATCACACTTATCAGTTCTACAATGTTTCCTAAGAAACGGTTTATCTGACTTACTGAGCTCTTACCACCTACCCCAGGCTGACCTCTGGAAGCAAAATGTCTTTCTTAAGAATGTTCTATCGCCTTCCCAGCACAGGAAAAGGAGCTCACCAATATAAGAATCGTTGGTGCAAAACACAACTGTCACTTGAGGGGTTTTCCTGAGTGAATGAAATAGTAGCAATGGAGATGGTGGCTGCTAGCACACTCCAGGAACTGAGAGAGGCCAACAAAATGTAGTGGACCATAATAAAATTAATGAAGGGATGTTTCATCATATTTCACCAGGGAATTTCTAACCTCTTATGTTTTTGCATAACTACAAAGTGACTCATCAATGTTGAGCTGTCAAAATGTTCATTATAAGGAAAATGACAAAACTAATCATTGATATTCATACATTTCATTTCTCAGTATCTGAGACTTTGATTTCTGTCCAAAACTCCCACCTGCAACAGCGCACACACGCACACACACACACACACACACACACACAACCTCACAGGCCTCACCTTTCACCAGGACTTTGGGGACTTTCGTGTGGCTGGCGCAGAAGGCACTGTAGAGCTTGAAGCGGTCAGCATAGTACAGAAAGGATCCCCCCAGAGAGAACAGCACTTTCTGGATTTAATGAGACAAAGCGCAGTTAGTTCCTTTTCCTTCTCCTCTGGAAATAGCTGCAGGATGTCCCAGGGAGCCACATCTGCCTCACCCCCTCCACAAACACAAATCCTCCCCACCTGGCCCAGCCACCCCCTTGCTCAGCCATGACCTGAAACTGCCCATCATAGAGTAGTTGGGCTCACAAGTGAGCGCAGCCCATGTGGGATCTGGCCTTCTTGCAATTACAGTGAAGATGTCACCAATTTTTAAGCTTTGCCTTTACAGAGCTTTGCTGAGAAGCGTGAACATTAATGAGAAAAATATACATGGCATTTCGGGAGAGACAGAAATCTGAAATCTCTCCTTAGCTCCCATCAGGAGGTAGAAGTGGCAAACCAAATAAAGGTCAAGAGATGCCGAAAATAGAAAACACATCTCCCGGTAGCTAACTACAGTCCTGCCCCAACACCACTTTCTCATCTAGCAGGAGCCGAGCATCAGAAACATGCTTGCAAGATCAAAGGCAATGCTTGACTATGGGAACTGGCCATCATGTCTCCAGCCCTGAGCCTCTGCACTGAGAGGACAGCACTGTGGGAGGCTGGGGCCACGAGAGAGGCACGAAGTCCTCATCTGAGCTACTCTTTTTTTTTTTTAATATTACTGATGCATACAAGAACTGGGGTACAGGCCAGAGGTGCAGGTGGGAGGATTCACCAGAGACAGAGTGGAGAACAATACAGGCAGATTGACTGAAATCCACTGCTGAGGGGAGCAGTGGGTGGGTCAGGAGAGGTCTGCTGAGACATCTGGGTCAGCTCCCTGGCCGGGGATGGAACTGGTGCTACAGTGGCTATGGACAGTTTCATAGTGCTGCGCTTTAAACCACTGCACCACCAGGGAGGCCCTGGGATACTTTTTATGCAACAAATTTTAAATAAATATACCACAGATCCTCAAATAACACCACTTAATTCAACTGTTTCATTATAACATTGAGAGCAAAAGAATAGCAGCCAACAAGGAGGACCTAGTTTCGTTATGCATCATGTCTCTTAAAGTCGCAGTGGCCCAGAAGCTATGGAGGAGGCTAGATGCCAGCTACTGAGCAGAGGTGAGCTTGCAGACACACGGCATCCAGAGCATCCACTTACTGAGAGACAGAGAGGTGAGGGTTTAGAATCAAAAGTTAGGTTTTTAGGGGTTATAATGGAGGGTGGTGGGGGTTTTCAGTTTTTCCTCTAAAAAAAAACAATAGACTAAAAATGAGGTTCTGACAAAAAATGAAGGTTTTAGATTTAAGTGATAAATTCAGTTTACAAAAATGCAATTTAGCGCATAAATAACGCAGAGGATTCTGACAGACTACTTACACAACAAAAAAGTTGCCAAGCAATGTTGGCAATTAAAGACCTAAATTTTCTTCCTACAGGATATACTTTCTCCCTTTGTATCTTACAGCCCCACACAATCCCAGCCTCACTCCTGACAAGAACTCCGCAGGAGTAGTGAACTTTTGAGCCACCCTCAATAATTAAAATCAGAAAGGTTTTGGAGGAAAAAGCTGCAAGTGTAATCCCTCTCTTAGCCCCATCAAGCTAACCATTTGTTTGCCTTGATACAATTCTACACATAAATGCTGAAGTCCTTTATCCTCCCTGGTCCAACCAGGGGTGGACCAGGAAGTATTCATTGACTGTCTGACCTTAAGAAGAGCTCAGGGCACAAGATGCCCCAGGAACAGGGGTTTGTACACAGCAATTGGAATTACCCGGAGTATCTCTTCTGTGGAAATTCACACAACTCCTCATAGGCTGACAGACACTGCAAATTTCCAAGCGGAAGCTATCAAAATCTGACCTCCACTGTCAATCAAAATTTGACTTATTTAACCGAAGAACTAATTTCATGTTTTACGCTACTAACTGCACTAAACATACAAGTTTCAGGTGTGTGTTATCAGACGTAAATCAACATCTGTCTAGACTGTCTTGAGTAGAACTTATTTTTTTCCAACACTGTCTTGGACCTAGCATGGTCTGAATATCTTAACGTTTATATATTTTAAGCCCAATACACAGGCAGGATTTAAAAAGAGCAGCAATGGTGGAAACTGACAACAAAAGGTTTGGGGGTGAACACTGACAACCCAGAAACCATCTCCAATGCTGACCAGGGCCCTGGGGCACAATATTCACTGTGCACCTGGTGCCGGGCCCCACCAAGGGGTCCCACTTAAATGGGATTTACAACAGTGACTGCTTAGACTAGACTTGTTGGGGGAAAAAGTCAATCACCAGCTTCTCCCTGGAACAATTTCTAACACTCATGTTCGCCAAACTCAGTTTTGTTCTACGAGCATTTCTATTCGCCAAACTGTCCTTTGGCAATTAACTCAATAAAAGTAACCTCCAAAAACTGGCCCCATAGCAAAGACGGGGATAAGTGAATATTCCCATTGTCCAATGAATTAACTCATTGAGAAATGATATGCCGTCGCCAAGAGAAACTGAGAAACCAAACTGTGATTTCCGATGGAGACATAACCACCCCAAAGGGGAGAAAGTTAATTCACCCACACGTTCTAAATACACCCCAAATGAACTACATGCAATCTTCAGGGCTAAAGAGACCTTGGTGCAGCTTGCTCTTTATGGTGCAGGGGGAAAAAAATTATACTCTACATATAGCAAATGCCCAGGCAGAAGACAGGAAAGAACGGAGAAAAGAGAGTGGCAAATGTAGACGTTTGCGATTCTGGGTGAAGGGTATCCAAGTATTTTTGTACTCTTCTTGCAACTTTTCTGCATCTGACATTATTTTTACTGGGATTTAGAGAACTATATGTAAATAAATGTTCCTATTCTTAGGCGTATGAATGCTATGGGTTTTCTAAATAGCTCTTGTTAAGGAGGCAGTGGGAAGAGATGACACACAGATAAATACCCTGAAGGGGTAGCTTTCACTTTGGCTTCTAAATGTGCATATAGGTGCCAGTCAGTAGCTGCCAGGGGTTGGCTGCAGGACCCTGCAAAGACCAAAATCCTCAGAAGTTCATGCTCCTTGTATAGGAGGACATGGTAACCACTTAGACCCGACCTGTGTCCTCCAGATCACTTACTACACCTACTAGGATATGAATGCTGTGTGAACAGTGGTTATGCTGTATTGTTTGTGGGATAATACAAAGGTGAGGGACATGGGGCATGCTGGGAGCAGAAGCAGTCACCGCAGGCCTGACCCCTCACTTGGGTTCCCACCCGTGGCTGGTGCAATCTGCAGACACAGATGGTGTGCTGGTGTTCCAGCCAGGTTTCTGCAGTGCCCACGGTCCACACAGGGACATCTGAACTGACTTCAATGGCAGCACAAAGGTCATTCATAAAACAGGACAGTCGGTTCAAAAAACTGTGCCAGAAAAATTAGATACTTATATACAAAGACTGACTTTACTCATTCATCACACTGTGATAAATCAGACGTAGCTATAAATACCCAAGCTACAGAACTTCTAAGGAATCTTTATAACCTTAGTTAAGACAAAGATGTCACAGATATAACACCAGGAAAGCCCTAAAAGTAAAATTCTGAAAAATTACAACTTCATCAAAATTTCAAACTTCTGTTCTTTGAGAGCCACTGTCTGAAAAGACTTGGAGGAAATATTTGCAAATTATAACCTGACAAAGGACTTACATTCAAAATAGCCAAAAAACTTTCAAATCTCAATAATGAGAAAGCAAGCAATAAAGTAATGGGCAAAGAACAGACATTTCAACAAAGAGGACAGACTAGGGTTAAATGGGCATAGAAAAAGATGCTTTGTGTTAGAAGTCACTAGGGACATGAAAATTAAGGCTATGCTGCATTCTGCCAGAATGGCCAGAAATCAGTAGAGTGACTGCTGTAGAGACAGAACCTGTGAGCAGATCACCCAAAGCAGGGATAGTAAAGAAAGGATAAACAGCTACATCAAATTGAAGCACTTCTGAACAGCAACAGGAACACTACATAAAACAAACAAGACACCCCACTGACTGGGGGAAAATTTTCACACATAATACAAATGATAAAGGACTGATCACAAAGATATACCAAGAGCTGCTGAAACTCAACAAAGTGAACAACCCCATCAAAAAATGTGCAGAAGAGCTAAAAGAGACTTCTCCAAACAGGAAAGGCAGATGGCCAAAGGCACATGAAAAAATGTTTAGCATCACTTGTCATAAGGGACATGCAAATCAAAACTACAACAAGATACTGCCTCACACCATGGAGAAAGGCACATATTATAAAAACAAGCATCAATAAATGTTGGCAAAGGTGTGGAGAAAAAGGAACTCTCCCACACTGCTGGTGGGAATGCAAACTGGTACAACCACTATGGAAAGCTGTGTGGAGGTTTCTCAGACTGATAAAATTGGAGCTTCCATATGATCCAGCAATTCCACTCCTGGGTATCTACCCAAAGGACACAAAAACAGTAATTTAAAAGGATACCTATGTTTATTGTTGCCCTATTTACAATAGGAAAGAAGTGGAGTCAAGCCAAATGCCCAAAAATAGATAACTGGATTGAGAAGATGTGGTATATAAACACAATGGAGTATTACACAGCAATCAAAAAAAAACCTCATGCCATTTGTGGCAACATGGATGGAACTGGAAAAGATCACGCTTAGTGAAATAAGTCAGAAAGAAAAAGAAAAAGAGCATATGGTTTCACTCATAGGAGCGTAAGGGATGGGGGGGGGACCCATACATGCATACATATTATATAGCAATTGTAATAAAGTTAAAAAGAACATCAACTAACAACTATCAACCAGAGACATTCTACAGGGGAGGGGAGGGGAATAAGATCAAAACGGGGGTGAGAAGAGCACCTGGGACTATGGTGATGGCACAGGGGTGAAGCGGTGGTGGGAAGTCCATGGGGATTACAACTGAGGTGAGAAAAATGTACAAAGTGACAAATAATAATGTAAAATATGTATTTATAAAATGAAACTGAATTTAAAAAAAGAACCTATGAGAGGGAAAAAGGGCCATAGAGCGTGCCCCAGCACAGCCACTCTGCAAGGCAGCATGCAAGCATGCCCAGCAGCTGTGCACACACGATCCAGGCCTGTCCATTTCCCAACCATCCCAGGCTGGGTAGGTTCACTGTTGGTTCTAGCGACTTGAAGGAGAATTTTGGAGACTTCAGCATCATTTTCACAGAGTTTAACGGCCCACAGGGGAAACGCCTTTCTCTGGCGTTCTCTCATGGTCTGAGTGACGCCCGCTTATATCCTGCCCTCTAGGCGCAGGCTGGCGCTCTGCACATGCGCACACAGCCGCACTCAGGTGTCCGTAGTCAGGCACACCTGCCCCCGCCCTTTATGGCAACAAGATCAAGGCCGCAGGTGATGGCCACAGAGGCCAATGGTGTAAAAGCCAGACCAACTTCATTCACCCTCCACCCCACTCTGGGTATTTACCAAAGAGAAATGAAAGCGGAAGCACAAATGTTCCCAGCAGCTGTATTTGTTTTGCCAAAAGCAGTTGGAAACAGCCCAGCTGCCTAAGGGAAGCTGAAAGGAGGACTAAGGGCAGAGCACCCACGCCCTGGACTATCACACAGCAACACGGACGCACATGAGATGATTATGCTGAGTTCAAGGTGCTACTCAGCTTACATGCATGCTGCTCGATTCCATTTATATAAAGTGCCAGCATCAAAGGCATCTATGGGGACAGGAAGCAGGGCATGATTGCCGTGGCTGAGAGGCAGCAAGAGGCAAGAGAGATGAATCATCAAAGAGTGGGAGACAATGTTTGGGGGTGATGATCATGTTCATTATCCCAACTGTCTTCAAGTTTTCACAAGTGTACACTTGTGTCAAAACTCATTAAATTTTACACTTAAATACATGCAGTGTATTATATGTCAATTATACTTCAACAAAGCTGTTTTGCAGACTTCTATGGGGGTGACAGTAAGTCAACGCCTTGGGTGTGAATTCACATGCTTTCTGTTGGAAGAACAGTAAAGCAAAGCCAAGCAAAGAGGAGGAAAGTAAGTGTCCTCACAGAGGTGCTAGTCATAAATCCTCATTAAGGCTGCAGGGACACTGTGAGGGAAGGATGTCTTCCTTCTGGATAACGATGCGCATGTCCACTCAGCAGAGTTTCCCAGAACAGCATCAATTAATGTGTTTGCTGGGTAACCAAGGACGCTTGTCTAATTTGTAAATCAGCAAGTATTAAAGGCCCCGCATAAACAGGATAAAAGGTTAAGGTTGGTACATCTTCCAAAGCAGAACCTAAAAGATGCACCAGTTTAAATGCAAGTCCATGGGCTGTTCAACCTTAGCTAGACAAGTAAGAGGTCAGTCAGTCCCCTCTCATGCTCCCTTTAGGAGCTGACCCCCTCTGGCAGCACCAGGAAGACTCAACACCGCACACAGAAAGCCTCCTGATACGTGTTAACAAGTGATTCAACTTTACCTCCAGGGTCATCCACCCATAGTGAGACCTACCTTGAACTGATCCACTTTCTCAAGCTTTTCCAAATCAGGGACCAGTCTCACACCATCTTCCAGAGTTTTAAGGAACTCTACTTGAAACTCTACCATTTCGGTTAAATTTCCGAAAAGCACATCAAGCTGCCAAATAAAAAAGAATTCAGTGCACTTCCCATTTCATTAGTGTGCTGCAACTTCATTTGCTTCTGGGGTCAAAGTTTTTCCTTCAGAGCTAGTTAGTGCAGAGAAGAGTGATCCCACCACAGAGGCTGGGGCAGCTCATATTCAGTAGGAGCAAGCCGAGAGCTACCTATTGTGACAATTAACCAATATTTAACCTATGTATGACAATTAAACGGACCCCAAGTGCTTTCTCTTATGTGGAATCCCCAGCCCTTCCTCATGTCAAACTCAGTGTGACCTTCCCGAGTGAAGACTGTTTCTACCATACCTCATCTTGGGTGAGAAACGTCTCTTTTTGAAGAGGTTTTAGGTATCTCTCCATGAGACAGTTTAGGTCCTGAAAGGTTAAAAGGACACCCCATTAGCATATCCAAAGTCTGAAAGTCTTTATAAAGAATCTGAAGGGGAAAAAAACACAAATTATGTTCTAAATGCTAACATTGTAGCCTCTAGGTCATTAAGGTCCACTGAAGCACAAGTAAGATAGCCTTTTCTGTAAATATTTAAAAGTTTTGTAGACCATATGGTGTCTGTCACAATTACTTAACTGCTGTAGAAGGGAAGTTTTATTAGGACACAAAAGTGTGACCTAATAAAACTTTATCTGCAAAAATAGCCCAAGGGCAGAATTTGGTCTGAGGGCCACAATATACTAACCCCTACTGTAGACACTGACATAAATCATTAAAGCAAGTCATGTTGTTTATAACAAAATATTAATATAACTAAATGATACAGTGATAGGAGTAGATAATTACACTACTATTATAGTAAAAAGAAAATATAGTAAATTGTATGTTGACTCAAATAGCTACATGAATAGAACTAATGTCAGAAGAGGGATATAGGAAACAGCTGATACCCTCCTGCTTTTCACAAAAGAATTCAGGTTTAAGTATCAGTCCAACACATACTTAGAAAGGTCAGAATCACTTAATATTCACAATCATCACCTAACTCAATGGATCAATTATATATATATATATAAAATATAAAATTATATAATAAATAGATGTCAATGAGCTGTTATACGGATAATCACTGTCATCTCCTTTCTCAATCATCTCAATGAATTGCTGTAAGAACAGATGAGCCTCCTGAAAACACAAAGGAGAGCTTAACATTCGGAAGAGAAGCCGAATTCCATGCAAGACCAAGCAGCTCTCGGCAACCGCGACTCGGTTCTGCTTCTAGTCTGGACCAGCATCCACGGCAAGCGGGAAGAAGCACACGCACCTTCACATAGGTGCGCTCGGTCTCCAGCAGCTCACAGATGACCTTGCGCAGCTTGTCGGCGTCTGTCAGCTGTCTCATGGTGGCCAGCTGTGGCGCCGTGGGATCCTGAGGAGACGGGCTGGGGTCCGAGGGGTTCATCTCATGCAGACTGCGGCAAAACGCGGCCACCTGTTCTGTGCTCTTGGGAGCACCAAGAAGAAGACAGATGAGGTGACCGCTCATTAGACAGACTCACCTGACCCCTGAACGTGCTCATTACTGAGCAGTCACATACGGATTCCAAATGCCCCCAACTCTCCACGCATGTGGGGGCTCTCGCACACGGAGGGCCCACTGCAGAGCAGCCGGCGGCTAAGGAGGGGCCAGCTTCACTCCCTTTTAACAGTGGAAATGACAAGTAATTCATCCAACATCACACCACATGAACCTGGCAGAGCTGGGATTTGAACCTGGCACTGTGGCTCAATGTCTATATTCTTACCTCACTGCAAGGAGCTTGCCAATGAACAGACAGAGATACAGAGAAGGTAAGTGTGTTCCACCCAAGATACAAGGCTAATAATGATCAGACTCCCGCTCAGCGCACTGTCGAAATCTCTTTGCAACGCTGGAAGACAATGCTACAAGTTGAGATTCTTCCTGGCTCTGTTAAACAAGGACACCAAGGAAGCTCTAGAAAACCCACGTACTCTCTGCAGGCTAAGTCGAGTAAGTCGGGCTCTTTCTCGCCCTCCCACCACTAGCCTCTATGGCTGCCACCTGTGCCTGGTTTCTGCCTAGGCTTGATGAGAACATGTTTCATCCAACGTGATATGTGGTGCAAAAAAGTGTTTGGAAAGGGGAGCACAGGGCAGGTGCGCCTATAATAATGGATACATGGATGGAGGAGCGTGAGCACAGGTGCACAAGCTTGTAAGTATGGAAGCCTGGAAGCCTGGGAGAGATTATTATGAGACATTGTGAGAAAGAAGAAAAGCTAGAAAGAAGCCAGGGAGAGAGGGCAGAGATCGTGGGAGCTGGGAGGCTCGCTTGCTGACTGCCTCCTGCACCCCAGTCTGCTGGCCTGCCCGTGTAGCCAGTTCCCTGCTTCAGCGTTAAAGGCCTGTCAAATCCACCTATAATGCCAAGACTCCTTTTCCCATTTGCCTGAGTCAACAAGAAACCTGCACGTCAAGTGCCTGCTTGCTTCCACACTCGATTTCTTATCTTTCCAACTTTTCAAAAGGCTAAAAAATAACCTCTCCTTCTAAGAAAAAAGGGTGTTGGGCTCTGAACAAAGCCTCAGTGAGTGCCCAGACTCCATCTAATCTCCTGCCAGGATGATTCAGGTAGATGTGTAAGACTCTAGGATACTAAATTTCTAACCTCTCAAGTTACTGTCAACAGCACCCTGTCATCATCTGTAGACAGGCTGTTAGCCCCTCCGCCCCTCGGGCAGTCATTCTCCACCATGGCAGCACACTGGGGTCACCTGGGGTGAGCTGTGCCAACCTCCCAGTGCCCTATGCACCCTCCAGATCGATTCAGTAAGAATTTCTAGGATGCGATGAGCAAGTGGCAGGACCTATAAAGGTTGCTGACTCACTCCTGGTTATTCTATAGAACAAAATCTGGTTTATTAATGTTTGTACAAATGCACTACTCTACCAATGTTTGATGGAGATGTCCTTGAAGGTGGTGACCATCTTCCCAAACTTCTCTTCCCCAATTCTGTCAATTGTCTAATTTATCCCTAGGCACAAAGTATTTTGAATAAAGACCTACACGTGTAAGGAACAGCTCTTCTTCTATCTCCTGCCTAGCAGGAGGAATGTGAGAACATCCTCCCAAGAACAGCTCCCAAGTACACAGAGAAGAACGTCAAGGCTGGAGTTGTTGTCGAGGGCAGAAGACCAATACCCAATTATCTTACATGGGGGCAATTTCTAAAGACAAGAAGGAAGCAAGCACTAATTCCCTTCCCCCTTGTTAGTGTATCCCAAAGGGAAGGGAGTTGTGAATAAAGACAAATCAAGGACACGGGCAATCAGGATGGAGCAAGGATGCATTAGAAGAAAAGCTCTGCCTGGAAAGAGTAGAAACAGATCCAAAGCCACTAAATTGTTATTCCAATTCTCTTCTAATTACCATAGCTGATTTGTTGCAGGACTGACCATGGTTTTCCATGCCAGAAAGGGTGGATGCCTGTTGGGAGCAATGTCCCATGTTTGCCATGGAATCATATTTCAGACACCGAATATCCTTGGGGGGAATTTTCCCTCCTGTGACTAACAAAAAACTCACCAAAATGGTCTGAACTGTGTGATATGTGAATCATATCTCACTATGGCTATTAAAAAAGGGGCTACTTGTTTTTAATCAGTTTGTTTCATAGAGATAAGCTCAACAGTTTTATTTAGTTACATAAGATTTTACTAACTCTTGTCATCCTTAAATACTCAGTTAAATATAGCTTTAAGTTAAAAAGGAACAAACTTAATAGCAACACTTTACACATCTTTTTTAATTATCCAGTGATAACTGTAAAAGAATGGCTGAAAATTAACTGCCCTGCTCTCCAGTTTATCCCAAACTCTCCTCTTTGCTTTGACTTGTTCATTAGCAAAGAAATCCAACACAACAAATGTATAAATGGCGCCATTGCTTACACCCTGCTTTTCTAAATGTGCCAACAGTCACTTCACTGCCTGACACATATTGCAAATTAGCTTCTACACATGATAAATAAACCCATCACTGCATTCCCATCAGAGAATTCAAGTACTTTTTTCAGTTTTATCATTTAAACAAGCTGCCATGTGAAATATATTCTATTATACCCACCCTTGAAAACACAAAGGCAAACATTTAGAAAAGACGCATATCAAAAGCTGGAAATTCCAAAAGACAGTTTCCTTTGTGCTCCAGACACACATCATACTACCCTGTGGCCATTCTCAGCTACACCTGGCCATAGTGATAAAAGGCTGAGGGTGGGATTTCTGGGTTTGCATTCCCCTCTCTACCACACAAGTAGAGGTTTCCATTTTTCAAAATGTGAGGAGGATTCCTGCCTTTGCCTGTGTCAAGCTCACCACCTCTAAGGTCTGGTATCCTTTTTGTTCAGCAGGTCCCAGGGGGAAAGTTCAGCTTAGAGGGATGCTGGGATAAGTTAGAGTTATTGTTCTAAATCTAGCCATCTCCTACCAAACTTCCTCCCCAAACAACCTGGGTGCTCACTGATATCCCCCAAGCCCAATACTGAAATACTAGGAAATGCATGCAACATCCCAGGGGAACCTAAGCATTCCCTTGAGTCTCCTGAGAGCTGAGAGCCTCCGGCATTTCTTCCTTATAGAGACATTGCTCAGCCTATGCTAGACCTGTAGGTAACCTTGAAATTCAAGAGGGGCACAGCAGTCTCCACTGCCCAGCCTACTCTCTGATTCCATGTGCAAAGTCTCATGTTTATCAGGAGGAACTGGATCAAAATGGCAGTAATATTTTTACTATCAATCATGTGTTATTAACGTTAAAAAAAAAAACCACAGATTCTGATGTGTAACTGTCAAGGGATATTATAGAGAAGGTTCTTCATAGAATTTTTACTAGAAAACAACTGAAAGGATGTTGTTAAGTTTCAGGGTTTTTCTTCCTCAAATCTGACCCAAAAATATCCTTACAAGGTAATAGGGAATGCAAGTCTTCTTCAGTATATCTCTAATTTAGAAATCTTACATATTGTGGCCCAGTTTCATAGTCCTCCTGATCCCCGACTGTGACCAAAAATTTTTTAAGGGAACATATGCTTTTTTCCCTTTTTAATTTTTGTTACAGGAAGTAACACTTCATTATAACATGTCTCAGATGTTTAGATTGAAAATCACCTGTACATGCAGACCACACCAAGTTCACCTTTAAAGGTGACTGTCCCCTTGTTCCTGTGTTCCTCTTCCCCCTTCCCTAATTCTTTCACCCCCAACCCACCAGCACCTAGCCTCAGGGCCTGGAGTCCTCCACACAGGACACAGGACACAGGAATGGGTGCCTTGCCCGCCCGTTCCATCACCGGTGATGACAGCGATGCATCATCTGACCATCCACACATCAGACACCCCTGTCGAGAGGGCTCCGAGGGGTGGGGAGACCCAACACACCCCTGAAAGCCAAGTTTCTGGCACAAGGAGCTCAGGCTTGCTCAGAAGCCAGCCCAGGTCTCTCCTACAGGAGAAACTCTCCCAGTTTGAGAAGACAATCACCGTGGAAACAGAGACACATTTGGAGCATTTCAGAGCTGCCAGTTTCAAACAGTTTAAGGGGGAGAGTTGTCTCCTGGTCAGGTCTCAGGATTGTCCCACCAGCCCAGAGGAAGAAGGGGACACTGCAGAGCCCCGTTTACAATGTCATTCTCTTCCTGTGGAAGATGAAAAGAAAGTATAAATGGGGTGGGGGGGCAGACTTTGAAGTGCTCGCTCCCCACTCAGGCGACCTGGCTGTTGAAGCTCTTCCTGTTATGCAATCACCAAAGGCAATTTCAGTCTCCAGATGAGTTCAGTTCTAAAATGGACCAAGACAGCACCTCCTACAGATTTAAAAGGGGGCTAAAGTGACCTAAAATTTGATCAAGCTTTGGGGGAGAAAAACAGCCATGTGATACACTCCATCACGGCACAGACCAGACACACAGTGTGATCTCAAGTTCTCTACCGCTTTCCGGTCGTTTTGAGCAACCTTTGAAGTAGAAACACCCAAGAAGAATGAAAGTTTTACTGAGGTAAATCAGGTGTACCGAGTGCCAAAGTTAAGTCTCCTTAAATGACACCAAATCTGAGAGCTGGCCTATTCCAAGATTAATATTACGCTATCGTACATTTAATTTCATTTTGTGGACTTATTCCTCACCGCTCACCGCAAAGGACTCATACGAGAAGGTAACATTTACTATAGAACTAACCTGCCCCGGGCAGGCCAGAGGCCATCAGTCTGTTCACCCACCCCTGAGCCGACACTTCCCATCCATCTCCCACTCTAGAAAGCAGCAGTGAAGAGAAAAAACACTGAAAACTTGAGAGGAGGCAGGTTGAAAGGCCTCGCTCCAGAAATAGTGGGGAACACCGCAGCCACCCAACCTGATGGGGGTGAGGGAGGACGGGACAGAGCCACAGGGACACAGACTCTCAACATTTCAGGAAAGAGGGCGCAGGTCAAATGACACTTAGTGAGCAGACATGCAAAAGACGTCTCTCTGCCGTGTAAACATCAAACTATCAGTCCGTTGGAGAGACTAGACACATTCAACTTCACAGCAACTACGGATCCCCCTCCCCCACGGCCGGAATGAGGTGAGGGACCCTGGGGCGGAAGGGTGCCAGGGGATGAGCCCCAGCACCTTCACTCTCAGGGACACAGAGCGACGGGGGACACAGCACAGGCACAGGGAAAGGGCTCACCCCATGGAGGGTCCGGCACTCAGAATCCCCAGGCTTGCCATTGTTTTCCATCCTGGGCTTGCGCTTTATTTTCCACAAAGCAGACATCATCAGGAATAGATTCTCATGGTAATTCTACCACCTGACGTGTTTGACACAAAGACAGAAGTTTCTTGACATATTCCAGGCACACCCCACGCCTTCCAGGTCCAAGGAGAGCATCCTCGCTGACAGTGCCCCTGTGACTCTACACGAAAAGCCACGGCTGCATCTCCGCACAGGAAGGACAGCGACCGTGCAAGCCTGGGAACAGCACCTCCTTCCAGTGCAACCTCCAGAGCGGCACCACCTCCCTCAGTGCCCACTGGGAGGGGTCAAAGGCTCAGTGGGAGAGGAGAGTCGTCGGTGCTTTGATTTCATCTGGCTCCTCAACAAAAGTTCCAGGATGGGAGAGCCAGCCAGGCAAGAAAACAAAAGCAGAAAACTGCCTGTATGGAGGGAAGCTCGCTGCTGCAGACGGGGCCAGCTGATTGGCCAGCTCCCGGCACCGGCCAGAACGAGCATGTAGCCCAGCACCAGCAACTTTGAAGACCCCTCCCCCGCTGGCTCTCGGGGTAGTGAGCTGGCAGGAGAGAGCAAACTGTTTCTTGACAGTTTGATATTTTCACACTTCCCTGCTAATGCTCTGTAGCAAGAGCAGGCAGTGCTGAGACAATAATTTAGATTCCAAAGGAAAAAGGCGACTCTGAACGTGGAAATGTTCTGAAAATTGCCCCTGTGCCCCTGTGGCTAACTGGAAACAAATTCCCAGCTGCCAGGGGCCTGGAATGCAGGACACTGAGTGTCTGAGTTGATTAGCATTTCCAGGGACAAGAGTTTTCCATGAGAAGCAGGGAAGTGAGTGGTGAGGAAGGCCCTTTGAGGTTCTCACCCACAGACACCAGAGGAAGGAGGTGGCCAGACGCCCCCCGCGGTGGGCAAGTCCCTCCCCCACTGTGGATGTGACATTCCAAGGCCACCCCCCCACCCCCAACCACAAGCTCACAATTATCCACTTATTCAACGCCTTACTGCCTGGTGTAGCAAAAACAGTTATTTTAAAAGTGTCACACACACTTCATCAAGGGCTTGCTGTCTCCCGCCCAATATCTCATAGAATAATTGATTTAGGAAGAACTGAACAAGCAAAACCATCAGCCAAGAGAAAAAATGACAAGTGGGTTCATTTCATTACAGTGTGTTCAGGAACACATTTGTTTCTACCTTTCTTCCTGCATTCAAATTAAAGCTAACAGACCCTTCCAGGTTCGGGCAGCTCACAACTTAAAAATTAAAGTTCAGTTTATTCTTCAGAAAAATTATACTTGGATAGGGGAGACATGGCAAAAAACAAACTTCATCAAGAAACGTAATATGCCCGCTCTTATTTTAAACCATAAAAACATGCCCAGAAAGGTGAAGCACTGGGAAGACATCTAAGGGGCTTCTGAATATATATCTAATTGGCTCAAAACAGCACCAATTAATTCCTTCCTTTTATGAAACCTGGTATTAAACAGTAGACCACAATAATCTGGCCAAAGACAATTTTCACATAGCAATTAGCCACATAAGACCTGGGTTTGCTATCTTAGTGCTGTGTGACCTTCAGGGAGTTGCTGAACCTCTCTGTTCCAACACCTATACTATAGATATCTTGGATAAGAGTATCACTCTTCCCAGGGTATAGTGAAGATGAGATGAGTTAATACAGAACAAGGCCCATTATATACCAGGCGCTCAATTAAGTATTAGCTTTCATCAATCATTAATGAAACACAGTAGGATGTAGCCTCTAAGAACCACTACTCAATTTAAAGTTTTACATTTCAAATATCCTAAGTGAGAAATCTAATTCATTAAAAGCTATTTTAGTTGAGAAGTCTGGCTAAATAGTTCAAGTAAGGAAGGTAAAATCTGAATCAGGCCAAAACCATAGAGTATTGTGGTGTATAGAATCACCCCATGTTCCCTAAGTCCAATCTAGTGAAAAGGAATGTATGAACCTATGGTTTCAATGTGATCCTCTGAACCAGCTTTAAAAATACCCAAACCACCCAAATGTGTCAATCATTTTGAAGAGCCCATCATGCATTTCTACAGAAATCCAGGAACAGCATCGTGTACGGCTGTTTTCGACCCTGTCTGTTCTGGGAGAGTTTAGAACTTTGTTCTCTGGAGACAGAACCCTGAAGAAAAGGGGGCACTTGGGGTCAAACAAAATCCTGGGGCCCCTTCCTTCCTCTCTGAATCCACCACCAGAACCAAACATTAAAGAGGATTCTGTTGAGAACTTCATGACTTATGGAACTGAAAGCAGAAACAATCCTCCCAACCACATGGGAGTGAGAACACCACCGTTACAGTGAGGCAAAAAATGATCCGATTCCCTAAGTATTCAGAAATAAATACCTCGGGTATGGGAAAAATAGCTATTTCCCCAAATCAGAAATGGAGAATTAACATTTTAAGTTTCAATGATAGAATAACTTAACCAATACCCTTCCAAATAGCTTACCCCACTGGGGAAATATCGCTGATTTGTGAGCACTAACTACTGCCCTGCCTCCCCCCCAAAAAGTAGGTCAAAATAAGAATCACCGAAAAAGTAACTTTAATCAGATGTTTCCTCGGCTTCTTTTTTTAACTTTAAGGTAAACATGTACATTTCTATTCATCTGGTTTTTAACTAACAACATAAAGACGTTCCCTCCATAAATCTTAAATTTACCAAGACTAAAATCACTTCTAAATATTTGATTTTATCCTGTGCTCAATATAAAAAGCAGTGAGATGAAGATGCTTGATGGGGAGAGCACCTATGACAGGTATCAGAAATGTTAAGGTCGGTCAAACACACACGCCCAAGAAAGTCCAACCGCAAAGCATAAAGGCTGAGACACAGAAAAGAACACGAGTGCCACGTGGGTCGTGGAATCCTGGTTCACAATGGGGAAGGCTATCTCCGTCATCGACGTGCCCCACGTACGACACGTGACCCCCCCGAGTCACCCACCGCTGGCCAAAGGCAGGCATCACCCTGGTAATATGGTAGATGAGACAGCAAAGGCATCACCTGAAGTTAGAGGATTTGCCCAGGCTAAATGACTGGCAAACATCAGACAAGAGAGTGAGGAGGCCCTAGAAGGCTCAGCAGAGATACATCAAACAAATACGGAAGCACAGCCACATCTACTGCTGTCACAAGGGAGGCGGGTCGGATATGGGGACACCAGGGTTTTTTTAATGGCTGTGCTTTGGCAGCTATGGGAGAAGAGGCTCTGGCCCCATGGAACTCCGTGGAGTGGGACAAAAGGAGGATGAGTTATGGAAAACAAATTTCCAGTGTGGCACCAGAGGGTGGGAAGAAAAACTTGCTCACAGTCTCAGCCTACCGAGGAAGCTTCGGTTTGGATTAATGAAAAGACGGTCCCCTTCCCCGCAGCATAAATGAGGCTGACCTTTAATGATACGAACACAGCTCGTGTAGGCGGAGTTCACCACAGAGACCATCGATTGTGGGCAAGAGGAAAAATCACACGCATCTGGGGTGTCGCGGCAGCCTGTGCCGGCAGGGGGGTGAGAAGGAAAAGGGGTGAAATCAGACGCCGGGGCAGGGAGAGGTGTTTCTGCTCTATCGTCTCGCATGTGGGTTTGTGAGCAAGTTGTCATTTGGATCGCCTATCCTGTTTGCAAGGAAAAACACTTGGCCCAGGGAGAGGTTTCTAACCATACACCGCTGCAAAGGTGACATTTTGGCGGCATTCTTCCGTGGCTCCAGCCATGAGAAGTGAAAATGAAAATCTCTCACCTTGCTGCTGTGGTCGGTGTCATCGGAGGATTCCAAGCTTGGTCCTTCGCTCTCCTCTGGGGCTGTCTCGGCGCTGCTGCTCTGCTCACTACAGAGGCTGTACCCTGCAAGACAAGCCAGAAGAGAGTGTGCAGAGAGTGTGCGTTGCAGGTAGGGCTGCACCCACGAGCCGCGCCTGGCGTGGGGTCAAGTTCCCGACGTGCACACAGACGGCAAGTTGGGGCTCCATGCGCTTGACTCAGAAAATCTTAGGCTTGTCTTTGCTTTCACTGTTCCCGCTGCTATTACTATGTGATACTGCAGTGTAGTTTTATTATTCATAGCTTATAGTACATAGTAATCATTACAGTGTGTCCCGCTCCAATTTGTCTACGAAGCCTGATAGGAGGATGTCCGCAGGGGCACCCAGGGACACACACACTCGGCCCTTGCCACCTGTGCTGGCTGTTGTTGACAGTTCTGACCAACCACAAGCCTCTTCTAACATCATATTCCCTCATACCCACCATATGCTAGGCTAAAGTGAAGGAAAGAACACTAAGGCTACTCAAGGTTCATCTGAAACTGCAGGGTCCCTATCACACAGACTCAGAGTCCAGAGACTTGGAGTTTGGAGCCAAATCTCTCTGTGCCCCGCAAGTGACAAGACGCCACCGAGCACTACGGATCCGTGCAGCTCACGAGGACAGCGGGACTCGTGGGCAGGGGAATCCCCCAGCGCACGGGATGCCGGTGCGGCGACCAAGCCCATCTGGCCCTGGGTCGAGATCACAGACAGCACCGTCTCCAACCAGGAGAGAGAGAACGGGCGTGGAAGGGGAACCTGTGGACGAAAGTCTTGGTCTGCAAAGAGACTGTCTGAGTCCAACATGGAGCACAGCACTAAACTGCTGCCTTCCTCTCCTGTCCAAGCACTAAGGAGGCCGGGAAACAGGGAGGCAGCCAACCTCGGCGTCAGCCAGGCTTTCAGGCTGTGCCCTGCACTCGCTCCCCCAGCAAGGAATGGGGATGGTTGCAGGGGGGTGGGGGGCCCTCCATTCCCCAGCTTGGTCTAGCTTGAGGACTTCCTCACATTTCTTCTCATTACTACTCGTGCTACAACTGTAGTGATCAAAGAAGTGGCTTGGTTTGCCTGCTGGCCATCACCTATGTCATGTGGTCCCCGGTGTAAGAATAAAATGCAGCTGGCCCTGTGCACATGGCCAGCGACTAGACAGAAAAGGCAAGCCTGGTCCCAACCTATAGAGGCTGTGGAAATGGCTAAGGACATGGCCTGCCTGCACTGAGCCCGAGGGCTGCAGGAGTCACGGCTGGCTCAGCACCAAGCTGGGGCTCCACGACTCACAAGGGCAGCATGCACCCTGCAGTCTGCAAATGGGACCCCCAGGCTGCCCAGCAAATGCTGTTCCTGCACATTCCCCTATGGGGGATGAGGTCAAGCTGATGCCCAAGGTGGCAGGAGAACTCGAGTCTGTTAGCCAGACTGCAGGCTGGGTAGCCAGAAATGCCAGCAAAACTACATCCACAAAACACTTGGCAATCCCAAATACAACCGAGCAAAATTCCTTTTAAATGCAAAGCTAAGTGCCCAGAAATGCCCGAGCCCAAAGTAGAGAAACTTAAGGGTGGGGGCATGAAGAGCTATTCCCAAGGCCAAGGAGGTGCCAGGCAAATCCATCAGGTCCCCAACCTAGAGCACATTCCCAGGGGAGACGCTAATGGTGGGGGCAAGAGGAAGATCTTCGGGAGGAAAACTGTATAGCTGGAAGGTGCTATAAGCCTCCGTGGCTCCTGGGCACTAAATCCCTTGGGTGCTGCGGGTCACCAAGACCTTCCACGCACTTCCCAACAGCGCAGCCCCAGCTCAGGAACCACTGCCGGGAGACTGGCTTGAACCATACAGCCGTGAGACAGAGGGTGTTGGGTCACATGAGACGGAGTTCCCTTGAAGGGCTACACTTGCCATCTACAAAGATGTGAAATATGAAAGAAAAAAGTACTCGCAGCAAAAGCGAAGGGAGCGGGGGGTGGGGGGTGGGGAGGAAACTTGTGTAGTTATGCCTGGATTGGGAGACAGGAGAGAAGCAGGCAAAGAGGATCTCTGAGTTGACAACCACTGTGACCGAGGGTATATGGGGTTCAAGTACACACTGGACACTGTACCCAGGAAAACCCAACATCTTCATCTGCTCACTTGAGGGTATATGGGGTTCAAGTACACACTGCACACTGTACCCAGGAAACCCCAACATCTTCATCTGCTCAATCCACTTTAACAAAAGACCACAGACATGGAGGCTCAATCAGTACACACTTGTAACTACTGGTTCTTGAGGCTGGAAGTCAAAGATCGAGGAGCTGACAGAGTGTTTTTTTGGTGACAGTTCCTCTTCTGGCTCACAGAAGGCCACCATGTCACTCTGCTCACTCTTCCTCTCCCATGGAGGACAGTGATCTTTGTGGAGGATTCATCCTCCTGACTTCATCTAAGCCTTGGTATTTCTCAAAGCATCCAACTCCTAGCAATAATCATACCGGGTTTAGACTTCACCAGATGAGTTTTGGTGGGATATGAACATTCAGTTCATGGCCCTATGGTTGAAAAGGTCACACTGGATTTGTATCCCAAGGGCATCTGGAAGATTGGGCAAAACCAAATCCACATTTGGAGAATTCACCCTTCTGACAGTGTCAGATAATGCCGGAAGAATACGAACCCATACCCCATATTGTAAAGCACAGGATGAACCAAGCCCCCACAAGTCAGACTCAGCAGACACATCAAAAGTCCAACCACTGAGGGACAACAGTGCAGTGATCAGGCAAAAAAGTCAAATAAGTGTGCTAGAATATCTTTGAAGGAAGGGAAGGGTGCACTAGGGAAGAGACAATTACAAAAAGACCAGGCAAAGTTAATCAAATTTTAAGAAATGAGTAGGCTAACTACCGAGATCAAACATTCACAGGTTAAAAATAAAAGTTGAAGGCCCTCCCTGGTGGCACAGCGGGTTAAAGCGCAGCACTGAGAGTCTAAAGCCACTTCCGCATGAGTTCGATTCCCGCCTGCC